TGGATACAGTCCCTGGGGGCTCTGCTGGAATTGGGACCTGGGGGCTCCTTCAAGGCCAGATGTTTGCAGCTTAGGGCACTGCCTGAAGGGGTACAGGGTAACACCCCATGGGGTACAGGGGAGTGTTGGGGTTCTGGGGGCAGTGCAGTGTCAGGACTATGCCTGGAGGGGGCTGGGGTGTTGTGTTAGAGGGTCTGGGAAGCTGCAGGGTGGGGCACAGGGTAATGTCCCATGGGATTTGGGGGGTGCAGGATGAGGCACTGGGGGATGCAGGGGTGTGCATTAGGGGGGAAATGCACTGGGGGGGGGATGGGTTTGGCAGGTTCAGTGTAATGCACCGTGGGGTGCAGGGGCCACATGCTGGGGGGCCCAGAGCAAAGAGGAGCAGGATAAAACTCTGGGGGAACTGGGGTGGTACCTGGGGGGCTGCAGGGTGGAGTGTAATAAAGGTGCATGGGTGATGTGCCATGAGGAGCTCTGCCCACCCTCTGCCCTGCGGGGTCTCCTCAGCGGCTGCCTGGGTGAAGCCCACCCTGTTCTGCTCCATGAGGAGCTCCCAGAGGTTTTGGAGGGGGGTGTGGGGTGGGTCCTACCATTCTCATCAGCATCCCCCATGAGTGCTGCACCCCAGGAAAGAGCTGGGGGGTCTGCAGGAGTCAGCAATGTGGGAGGGGGATCCTTCCCAGCCAGTATTTTTTCTTGAAGCCTTAACCCACGTTCATTCCAGGGCCAAGGGCTGATAGAAATGGTTAATTATAACCCTCATATTTTATTTATGTCCTTAAGACTCTGAGATCTTGGCCAGGGGAGAGGCAGGGAGCAGTGGGGAGTGACGAGGGGCAGCTCCAAACCAGGGAGGAATAAAGAGGAAACGTGAAGCACCGGAGGAACCGCAGCGAACATCCCCTGTGGGGGCGGCCGAGAGGGGTTTGAGGACACAGCGGGGATTTCGGGGGGCCGGAGCTCCCTTCCCACCCCCACCCGCCGGCCGCTCTCGCCCCTTGCCAGCAGCTGCCGCAACTTGCAAAGGGGAAGGGGAAAAAAAAAAAAGAGAAAATTGCAAAAGGAATAAAAAAAAAAAAAAGGGCAGCGCAGCCAGAGCAGGACTGCAATGCAGTGCCGCAGCCCAGCCGCCGCACGGCCCTCCCGCAGCACGGGGGGCCCGGCAGGGACAGGGGGCTGGGACAGGGAGGAGAGGCTGCGACGGGCCCCTCGCCCGGCATCTGGGAGCAGCTCTGCACCCGCGGCCCAGGGCTTGGGCTGCCCTGCTTGTGCCTGGTGGGGATGGGGGTTGTGACCAAGGACACCCAGTGAGGCGGTGGCGCAGTGGGGTCTGGGACCTGGAGTTGAGGGGATGTGCCCAAGGACACACTACTCCACTGCCTGTCCCCTCTGCTCCACTGCCTGCCCTCCCACCCAACGATGGCACCCTGGCTACCCCCGACCCGCCTGGGCTGCCCCCATGGCACTGCCCACACCTGCCCCACGCTGCCCAGCCTGGCCCCCATGCAGGGGGGCGATCAAAGCTTGGCTCCCTCGCTGGGAGGGACAGGATCGGGCCCTTGGTCCCATGGCAAGGGGTGTAGGGTCCAGGGGACTGTAGGGTACTGAGTTGGAAGGGGGGGTGCAACATGGTCTCCATGGGCTTGCTCCCCCAGGCCTCTCCTGTGCCTCAGTTTCTCCCAGTCCTCAGCTCTGCCAGCACCCGGTAAGCACCACAAGGGAGCAATTAGTGATGCTAATTAGCTCCCCAGCTCAAAAACAGCCCCTGCACTGAGGCCTGATGCTGCCTGCAGGCTCCTGAGCCCTGGCCAGCACCGCAAAGCCCCCCAAGCCCCCAAAGCAGCACTTCCCTGGTCGAGTGCCTGCACTGCATCTCTGCCCCCAGAGCCCCGTCCCCTCGCGGTTCCCACAAGCACAGAGGCACACGGGGGGGGGGTGTCTGTGTCTGTGTGTCTGTGTGTCTGTGCAGGCCCTTGCACAGGCTGTGGGCAGTGCCAGGCACACATGAGGATGTGCAGCCCCACGTGCAGGAGCTGGCAGAGCTGGTGACACGAGTGCTGCACGTCCACACAAGCGCTGGCACCCGGACACATCCCTGGGCAGGTGTGCTCACACGTGTGTGCCTGACCATGTGCACACGCCTGTCAGCACTGCCTGTGCACCAGCTTTTACACACACACACACATACACAGGCACAGGCACAAGTCCCATGCACAAGCACTTGCACACCCTGTGCACATTTACACACACCCACCTTCACATGCATTTGCATATCCCATGCACACAAGCATGGACATGCTTGCACATACGTTTACACACGTGCACAGACGTGCACACACACACCCCGTGCCCGTGCACTGGCCCTTGCACCTCCATGCCCACACCTACGGGCTCGCACAGGTGCACAGACAGACACACAGAGCCCTGCACAGGTGCACAGACAGACACCCAGAGCCCTGCTCACATCCCCTCCCGTGCACACGAGTGTGCACACGCGTGGGCTGCAGCCCGTGCCCGGCTGCGGGCGCTGAGCGGGCCCGGCTGTGCCCGTCCCCGGGGACGGCGGCTCTGTGCAGTGGGATGTGAGCGGCATCGCGATCATTGCAGCGTCAGGATTGCAGCGGGGCTGCCGCAGCCCCCCCTGCGCTCGGGGAGCTCCCACCCCCCCCCGGGCAGTGCTGGGCTGGGCGCCCAAGGACTGGGGTACTGGAGGGGGGTCAGTTCATCTGGATGTCACCTCTGCGTGCTGCCCACCTTGTACAGTGTGTTTGGGGGCAGAGGGGGTGCCCTGGGGTGTGTTGTGGGGGGTCCCTCATCCCGTGCTCGCTGGGGGGCTTGAAGGGTTTCTGTGACCTGGACCCCCTGCCCTTTGTCCATGGGTGCAGGGCAGAGCCAGGACCTCCTGCCCCAGACCAGGGGGCAGGATCCAGCACTGGGGGGCTGCCTCCAGCAGCACTGGGCCTCTACATCCCATCTCTCCTCCCACTGACCCTGGTGCACCTGGGCAGTCATGGGGACAAACCCCTCAAGTGATGGGGACAAACCCCTTGTGTTTGATGGGGACAAACCTGGACATGTGTCCAGGTGTCCTCAGCTGCTGGAAGATCTGGGGAGCTCTAGTAGCCCTCAGCATCAATAACCCTCAGTCAGGTTGGGGTTAAATGCAGCAGCTCCCGGTTCATTCTAGGATGTGGGGGATGTGGGGCACCTCCAGCCCCCTGCTCCAGCCCCCCAGTGCTGAATTTCAGGGAGCTGCAGCTGCATCGGGGCCGGGTGATGTGATGTGGGTGTCTGCAGCAGTGGCAGCCCCTACACAGGGAGTGAAGGTGGTCATGGCTGAGACATGGGGTGGCAAAGCCTATGCCTGTGGCAGGGACCTTGTCTGGGTGGGAGTCATATAATCAGCTTGTTTTGTCATGTGAAGGGCTGTCTCTCCTTTGTGGGGGATCCCCCAGACCCTCACACCGTATTCTCTGCAGGAGTAGCGGTGCAGAAAGGAGGTGTCTGGGTATGGAGATGCTGGATAAATCAGTGCTTGATTCACCTGAGAGGTGGCTGACTACACGTGGTAGCACCAATTTGAGGTAGGAACACCCCCAGGTCTCTCTGGCTGACTTTTTGAGGTGAGAATGCTCCTTTTCCACTGCTGTAGGAAGGGCAGAGGAGCAGCCAGACCCAGGGGACAGTGCTCTGGGCAAGGAGCCTTCACCGAGTGGGAAGAAGAGATGCAGGGAGTGGGATGCCCCCCATCCCAGAGCTCACCTGCCCCCAGAAACTCTTTCCCGGGTTATCTGTGATCCTGCTGGCTCTTTGCTTACTCCCCTGAAGAGCCTGGTATCCTCCTTAACCCCACCAGCACACTTACTCTCTGGGATTCTTCCTACTCTGGTCTTCCCTTTGCAAACTGCTTGAGTTGTGCAGGAATTTTGTGGCTGGATCTGGGTTGTGGGGGCACTTTGAGTCTATAGCTGGGGTTGTGGATCCACTTTGGGGTTGAAGCTGGGTTATGGAGGTCAGTCGTGGAGATGTTTTGGGGCTGGAGCTTGGTCAGGGAAGCATGTTGTACCAGGTTTACTTGCAGAAGTCAAAGCCACATTTGCAAGACCATGGGATGGGTGTCCCCATGCTTGGGGGGTGCTCAGACCCCACTGGGCTGGGGAGGGGATGCTCAGCACACTGGGCTATGCTGCAGCTCTGGCAGTGAACTGAGCACCTTCTCTGGCTCCACAGGGGAGGGGGCTGCCTCAGGGAGCTCTGCAGGGTTGGGAGCTGGGCAGGAGCCTCGAACCACCCAGGGCATGGTACCTATGACATTGTGAAAGGGTCAACTCATCGACCTGCACGCTGAGCCTTCCATGGCTGTGTAGAGCTTGCCCTTCCCTGCTTCCACCCATCCTCAAGATGTGCCCTGCCAAAGCTCCCTGGGGCTGGAAGAAGAGCAGTGTGCTGCTCCTCTCCTGCTCCCAGATTTGGAAGTTCCCACAGGGCCAGAAGCAAGTCCTGAGGGTCCCTCACCAGTGCTGGGTGCCCCATGCCTGGGTCCTGGCCTAAAAGGAAGGATAGGAGGGGCTGGCTTTGTTCAGACTGACCTCACTCATCTCTTCTGGGATGCAACATTCCTCTCCTCATCCCACGGGGTCTCATCAGGAGAACATCCCCCCAGGAGTGTCCCTGATGTCCCTGGGAAGCTCTGAGCTGGCACCATCACTGATGCAATGCTGGGTGATGTTCCCGGTGGCTTTGGAGATGTCAAGGGCCAGGAAACTCAGGGGTCCTCTGGACTTCTTATCACTTGTGAGGGGTCCAGGTGTCTGATCTCTCACAGCCATGGGGTCTGTGCCCCTCCAGCAGAGGATGAGGTGTCCTGCTGCAGCCCTGCTGTCCATGCTGATCCCTGTGCTACTGGGGACGCTGCCAGGGCACAGGGAGGAGCAGGGGCAGCAGGAACTGTGTGACCACCGAGGTGATGTTGTGTTTCAGGGAGCCCCTGACCCACCATGACGTTCAAACAGGCGTCTATGATGGCCCCAGAGGCCACGGCCACCACGATGCCCATGAGCACGATGGAGAACTCCACCGAGGCCGGGGGGCCAGGCGAGAGCAAGGAGGACATGTTCACCAAGCTGAGGGACAAGTTCATGAACGAGCTCAACAAGATCCCCCGTGAGTAGCTGCTTCTTTCCCAGGTGCCACCCTCCTGATGGCCCCACCACCGCGCTGGTCCTCGGGCAACAGGTTGGACAAGATTTTGGGGTGGTTGGGAGGGAGCTGCAGGGCTGACCACAACACTGGCTTTTGCCTGCAGTTCCACCCTGGGCCCTCATCGCCATCGCAGTGGTAGCCGGACTCCTCATCCTCACCTGCTGCTTCTGCATCTGCAAGAAGTGCTGCTGCAAGAAGAAGAAGAACAAGAAGGAGAAGGGCAAAGGCATGAAGAATGCCATGAACATGAAGGACATGAAGTCAGGCAACCAGGTGATGTCCCTCTGGGCTGCTTGGCCAACAGTCCCTCCGGATGAGCTATGAACTGTGCTGGGGCACCCGTAGATCAGGCAGCAGATTGGGATAGAGTCACCAGGATGTCTGAAGCCAGGACATGGAGCCACCAACCACTGGGATGGGACAGTGCAGACAGGAGCCAGGACCTGAGACAGCAGCACTGTCCTCTTTCAGTGCCCACTGGCCCAGATGGGACCAGGCTCGAGCTGTCCTGGACCTGCCAATGCTTCACACGAATCAGAAAATGTTAAATTAATCCCTTTCTTCTTCCTGCCTCCCTCTGGGTTACCCTCATTTCACTGAGCCTTTAGCCAAGAGGGGAGGGCCACCAGGGCAAAACACCTGCCAGTTTGGGGTCGAGAGGCAGGTGCTGGTACCTGGAGCAGACCTGGGGCTGTCTCCCCATCCTTGGGGCCAGCCTGAGGTGGGCTTTGGTACCTGCAGGCTTGGGGCCTCCCCAGCCATTTCCATGGTCTTGACCCAGGGCCATTTAGAGGGGGTGAGAGATTTTGGGTGCCTGTTCCTGCTCTCCAGAGCTGTGTGGGCACCATGAACACGCAGGCAGGGCTGGAGCAGGAGTGGTAGGAGATGTGGGGTGGGATTCCCCAGCAGAGAGCAGGGGCTGTATCCCCTGGGACTCCACAGGGTCATACAAACCCTGACTCCCCCACCCCATGGGTCCCTCAGTGCTCTCTCTAACGTGTCTGTCTTCCCTTGTGGTGCCCTCACCTCCTTCCACCCTGCTGCCCTGGCTGCCTGGTCCCTCCCCATCCTGGGACACCCTCCATGGTAAGTGTCACCATGAGCCTCCTTCTCCATCATCTGCTTCCAGGGTGGGTTGGGGGACCTGTAGACATGTCAGAGAGGAGATAAGGAGCCAGGACTCCCACCCTACAGACCATGGCTTGGAGAGGCAGGAAGAGGGGTGGCTTTTCCTGGGGACAATTAGGGTGTATCTGAGTCTACAAAGCACTGACTGCAGTGCTTCCCCGAGCACAGGCTGGGGGGTACAGGACCCACTGCCTGCAAGCACCAAACCTCACTCCACTGGAGCCAACCCCTTGTTCTGGTGGTCCGAGGAAGCCCCTCATGCCACCTCGTCTGGACCAACACCGGGGGCTCCCTGGTAGCCACATGGCTGTGGCAGAGCCAATGCCACCCCCAGATTGCTCTATCAGTGCTTTGTGTCCCCAGCACAGGGGTCTCCTTTCCTCTGACGGGGAGAACCTGGGTGTTGAGATGCCAGTAGGGTTGGGGTGCTGGGGTTCCCAGGGGTGTGGGGACGGGGAGGCTGGGCTGTGACCGTGCTGCTGAGCTGGGCACTGCGGCTGCCACTGCAGGACAACAGGACGACGATGATGCAGAGACGGGTCTGACGGAGGGGGAAGGTGAGGAGGAGGAGAAGGAGCCAGAGAACCTGGGCAAGCTGCAGTTCTCACTGGACTACGATTTCCAGGCCAATCAGGTGATGGAGGGGCTGGGGCTCAGCTGAGGAGTGGGGTTTGCCCAGGGGGATTTTTGAGGGGACAAGTCTCCATGTTGGACCTGGGTGGCATGGGAGGGAAGGAGGAGCTGGGTGCTGTGCCACAGGAAATCCTGCCTTGGGCTGGAGATGAGTGGAGATCTGCAGAGTGTAGCTGGGCTGTCCTAATAAGGACACCCCTCTGCCCCCTCCAGCTGACGGTGGGAATCCTCCAAGCCGCTGAACTGCCAGCTTTGGACATGGGGGGCACCTCAGACCCCTATGTCAAGGTGTTCCTGCTGCCTGACAAGAAGAAAAAGTATGAGACCAAAGTGCAGAAGAAGACGCTCAACCCTGCCTTCAATGAGACCTTCACCTTCAAGGTGAGACCCTTCACCCACAACACAAGACCTTGCCTCCCACTCCCACCCTTCTCACTGACTGTGCTGGTCCCATACGCTGACCCTCACTGCTGGGAGCAGGTGGTCCTGGCTCGGGGTCCTCTGAGCCCGCTGTCAGCCCAGCTGCTGTCCCTGTTTGTGCAGGTGCCCTACCAAGAGCTGGGTGGGAAGACGCTGGTGATGGCCATCTATGACTTTGATCGCTTCTCCAAGCACGACATCATCGGGGAGGTGAAGGTGCCCATGAACACGGTGGACCTGGGCCAGCCCATTGAGGAGTGGCGGGACCTGCAGAGCGGCGAGAAGGAGGAGGTGAGAGCCAGCCCTCAGCCAGAGGAACCTCTTGGTTAGGGGATTTAGATGGGGGTGGCCACGGGGTGAGCTCTGCTTTTGGGACCATCCCACAGCGCTCAGGGTGATGATCATGTGGGGTCCCACTGGGGTGGGACTCATGCCTGTCCTGGCTATGAGTTCTGGGCAGGATCTGCCGTCTTGTTCCTCTGAGTAAAAACCTTTTTGTCACAAAAAATGAAGAGTATAAAACATCTTGAGTGCTGTGCTGGGCCTGACCAGCTCCAGACCCAGTGATCAAACCCTTGTGCTGGTGCATGGGGTGCCAGCTTGTGCCTGTATCGAAGGCTGAGCAGGGTTTGGGGGGACCTGCATGTTGGACCACGTCCAAACAGTGCAGTCTGATGCGCTGGCAACGCTTTGATATCCACTCCCTGCTTTCCTTGGCAGCCAGAGAAGCTGGGAGACATCTGCATCTCTCTCCGGTACGTGCCCACGGCTGGGAAGCTCACTGTGTGCATCCTGGAGGCCAAGAACCTGAAGAAGATGGATGTCGGGGGTCTCTCAGGTGAGTGTCACTCAGGGGCAGCCTCCTCCTGCCCCACTGGGGCTCTCAGCACCTTTTGTCAGGAAGGACACTGGGGCCATCAGTCTGGCTGGACTCGGGGAAGCCCCCCCAGTGCCTCCTCCTGCATTGGAGGCAGCCCAAGGTCTGGTTGGAGGGTAAAGGAAGATGGGCATGGGATGAATCCTCCACCCTTAGGAAGGACATTTTGAATTTGGTCTCACACTGTGTCCAGGACCAGGATGCTGCAGGACCCGGGTGGTGAAAATTCTCCTCTGCCATTTTCTCCTGGTCCTGCTCCTCCTTGACTTGTTCAGTTGACAGAATGTTTTTGCTTAAAGAGTCTTCCCAACCCCATCATGGGGCTGAACTCTGTGCCCAGAGGTCTTCAACTCTTTCCAGACCTGCCTTAACCATGGGAAGAGCAGTCCCTGCATGGCTGGGAGGGTTCAGCTTTATTGTGGGGTGTCCTACTCCAAAAACATGGGTGACAGATGCCACCTGACAGGCCAGCTGTCGCTCCACTGTCTCCAGTCCTCCTACAAGAGGGCCCTCAGCACAGAATCACAGAATTAATGTTGGAAAAGACCTCCAAAATCGTTGGGTCCAACCTGTGACCAATCCCCAGTTTTTCAACCATCCCAGAGCACTGAGTGCCATGTCCAGTTGTTCCTTGGACACCTCCTTGGATGGTGACTCCACCACCTCTTTGGGCAGTCCATTCCAATGCTTGACAACCTTTTCAGTGAAGAAATTCTTCCTGACATCCAACCTGAACCTCCCCTGTTGCAGCTGGAGGCCATTTCTCCCTGGCTAGTTACCTGGGAGCAGAACCCCCCAGCTCCACCATCCTGTCAGGGAGTTGTAGAGAGCAAAAGTGTCCCCCCTTTGAGCCTCCTTTTCTCCAGGCTGAACCTCCCCAGCTCTCTCAGTCATTCCTCATCTGACTGACTTTCCAGACCCTCCCCCAGCTCTGTTGCATGCAGAAATGCTCCATCCCTCGTCCAGTTGCTCCCACAAATCCTCTCCAGCCCAGCTATTTTGACTTTGGTCCCCATCAACAAACCCCAGAGCTCATGGACATCTCTACCTCATTCTGGGCTGAGATGCCTCTTGGCTGATGGTGCTCCCTGGGCATCTCATCCCTGGCTGATGCCCCCCCTGACCCCCAGATCCCTACGTGAAGATCCACCTGCTGCAGAATGGCAAGAGGTTGAAGAAGAAGAAGACCACAGTCAAGAAGAAGACCCTGAACCCTTACTTCAATGAGTCCTTCAGCTTTGAGATCCCCTTTGAGCAGATACAGGTTTGCCTGATGACTCCCCTGGGAGGCAGAAAAGGGGGAGGGTGATGGGAGATGTCCTGCAGCTGCCTGAGCCCATTTCCCAGCATTCTCACCAACCTGAGTGGCTCCTGCTGAGCTCCTGGTCCCTGAGATAGACCCAGTCCCATCCTGGGCCTGGACTGATGCTGAGAGCAGCTGGTGCAGGGGCAGAGTTGGGAGGCTGGGCAGCACCTATGGGAGATGCAACCCCAACAGAGACAACAGCTGGAACAGGGCTTTCCTCTGCTCCTGCTCCTACAGTGCTCACCCCAGGCATAACAAGGACCCCCCAGTGCTCCTAAAGGCATGTTGGACCACTGGCCAGTGCCTTCTGCCCCTCCATGTCCTGCCCAAGCCCCTGCACTTGCCCCTTGCCCTGGCCCAGTAGCCCACAGCTCTTACCCAGCTCCTTCACCACACCTTGGTGACCTTTCCCAGGTGAGTTAGGTCAGGATGAGCTGGGTCCCCACTGTGGCTCTGCAGCCCTGGGCTCCTTGGGAATGATGTGCAGGAAGCAGAGAGGGGGCCCTGCCCCAAAATGGGCCACTGCAGGGCTCAGCCTTGGGGGATCCCTGCGGCACCCTGAGACCACAGAGCCATCACGGTGCCGTGCCTTTCCACCCTCTAAAGAAGGTTTTTCCTCCTGTAGAAAGTGCAAGTGGTAATCACGGTGCTGGACTATGACAAGCTGGGGAAGAACGAAGCCATCGGCAAGATCTTCACGGGCTTCAACTCCACCGGCACAGAGCTGCGGCACTGGTCCGACATGCTGGCCAACCCCCGGCGGCCCATCGCCCAGTGGCACTCGCTGAAGCCAGAGGAAGAAGTAGATGCAGCTCTGGGGAAGAACAAATAGGCGGCTCTGGCGGCCGGCGCGGCACTCGGACAGTCGGCGCGGCCCAGAGCTTCTGATACCTCGGTTCTGCAACCTCCCGTCTTGGTTTTTTTGTTCTGTTTTAAGCTGAAACGCCCTTTGATGGCTCTGGAAGGGTTTCCAGGCAGTCCCAATAGCTTCCAGGGGAAGAGGTTAAAGACACGGATGGTTCTTTTCGTTCTTCAGCATCGCTCCCTCTGTGCTGCATGTCCCGCCGCCTCCGCTCGCCATCCCTTCCCAGTGCAAAGCCACCGGCGTGCCTGGGACCTTCCCCGGCAGCCACGTCACCAGCCTGCAGCACTGCTGCTGTCATCCTTCCCTTGGGATCACGTGGGGAACCATGGAAAGTTGCATGGAGGTGATACCGGAGACTGACGGTGTGGAATGACTAGACCCACTGTGCTTGCTCGGGTCATGGTCAGCTGTAGGACAGCAAAACAGTGGAGAAGACCCTCTGGAAAGATCCAGGTGCCTCCCCCTGGTCTTCCCCAGGGATGGCTGAATGCCCTTGGTCAGCTCCAGGTTTGGCTTCTCTGGGGAGAGGTTTGCAGGGGATCCTCTCTGTGGCTGGTGTGGTGGTGGGGTACTGAGCCCCTGGTGTTGCAACTGGAGCTGTGGGGGCCTGTCTGAGCCCTGGGAGCCCTGGGGGGGCTGCTCTGAGGAGACATGTGGATGTGGATGCACCATCAGTGCATCAATCACCACCATCTCCATTGTGTCCCCGGGGCCAAGCAAGGGCAGTGCTGGGTGAAATCTGTAGGTCAAGATGCTTCCACAAGGCAGGTTTATGCTGAGAGGTCTCCAAATGTGGTGAGGGCAGAACCCCAGAGCAGTGCCAGGTGCCTCCCCAAAGCCCATCCATCGTGTGTCACCAGGGCTCAGACTCACTGGGGGCACCCCGACACAGCCTGGGGGCAGCTGGGGGGGCTTTGGGGAGCTCCAACCCCACCACTGCAGCCCACCTGATGTAGACGACGAGAGCGAGCCCAGGGCCAAAAAGGGACCAAAACCTCTGACCCCCACAAGCTGCTACTCCCCACCAGGCCACTGGCTGCCAAATCTACTCCATCCTGCTCCCTTCAGGGTGTTTAAGCCATATCTGTGTCCCTGACAGTGGGCAAGAGCTTCTCCAGACCACCTCTCCCACTGTCACACCAAGCCCCTGAGCTGGAAAGCCAACACTGTTCCCTGCAGCTGGGAGAGGATCCAGCAGCCCTGCCCAGTTCAGCCCAGTCTGTACTGGAGCTCTGACATGAGCCGGTGTCCCCATCCCAGCTTTGACTCCCCGTCAGCCTCACACTCACAGCTCCACTGGCTTCCCTGGACTCGGTTTTGGGGGTTCTGCCACAGTGCAGCAGTGAAGGGCATTGCTGCGACGGAGCTGAGCCCTGAGGACGCCCCAGCACTGGGGCTGCTGCTCTGGGGGTCCAATGTCTGGGCTGGGACCTTGGTGCAGTGTGTCCTGTCTGGGGACAAAGTGCCAAAACTGAGCTCAGCCCAGCAGTGTTGGAGACTTCAGCAGCTCCCACAGCTCCCAGTTCCGAAAGGGCATCCTGGCCCTGGCTGGAGGTGGGGAGATGATGGGAAATTTGGTGGCAGCCACATCTCAGGGGTTTCAGATGGACACAGGGATCAGCCCTTGCCCCTAGAGGGACGTGCAGCTCTGGGACGGTTCCCCAGGGAAGGATGGCTCCATCCTTAGGAGCTTTGGGCTCAGGTAACCAAGCTGCATGGGGGGGGGATGTTGGATGGGGACCTCCAACGACCACCTCCACCACCACCATGGCTGCGCTTGGCTCATGCCCTGGTGAAAGTGGCACTAGGGTCACACCACGTTTGAAGGGGTCATCAAGCAAGTGGTCCCACAAGGCCATCTCCAGCTTTAATAAGTCCCTTTTCCTAATCAATGTGTCAGCGTCAGCAAATGGGTCTTGCCCTGCTCCTGTAGCCAAAGGGAGAAGAAGTCTCGGGATGCTTTTAATTAAAGGGGGAGTTGAGAGGGTGAGGATGCCCCACGGCGAGGAGCACTAGCTGGATTCAGTCTCACTTTGGGGTCCATCCAGCCACTGGTTGGGATGGGGGTTTGCCTTACACGGAAATGGGTTAAAAAAGAAGAAATTGGAAAGAGCACTGAAATCCTCCTGTTGGCAGTCAGAGAGAGTGCACAGCCCTGCAGCCTCCCCTGGGGAGCAGGTGGAGTTGTGCACACCTGTACACGTGCACACCTATACACCTGCACAGCTGTACACACCTGTACACACCTGTACCCCTGCACCCCCTCCTGTGCACCCCCATCCACACCCCTCCACCCCCACACCCCACCCGCACCCCCAGACCTGCCAGGGTCTCACCAGGAGCAGAGATCCTACCTGGCTGGTTTCCATTCAGACTCTCCAAGCCTTGGGGGTGGGAGGGGGGGGGGAAAGACTGTGACTTTAATACATAATTTAATTTATTTTTTTTTTTAATAAAAAGGGGAAAAACCAAACCGTATTGAAGCCATCTGCGCTGCCTCTGACCCCCCTCCCCCCCCCCCTTAGCTATGTGTAGGTAAAATATATGGAGACATAGCTGTAAATACCACGAGCAGTGCATGTGATGCAGCCACGTAGCAGTAGCAGCATGGCCCCAGCCCGGCGCTGCCACCGCCCCGGCACCGCCGTCCCCACCTCGGCCTCCAGCGAGGGAGGACACGGCGACCAAGGGAACTCATCGCTCGAGAGCTCTCCACCGCCCTGGTTATTTCCCCCCCCCCTCAATAAAACGAACCCCCCCAATAAAATCATGTAAAAGAAGAAAATAATGCCAAGAAGCAAAAGCATGCCAAGCCCGGCCCGCCAGCGGAGCCGTCACCGACGCAGCCCGTGACATCCACGTGTGTCTTGTTCCTGTGCCTCGTCGCGTTTGTCCCATGGCCGGGTAGCGGCAACATCGTGGCTTCCGTGTCCTGTGTGGGTTGGTTCTCATCAACCGTCAGAGCAACTTTAGAAGCCATATAAGAGCGCGGCGCGCCGGGGGCGGCCCGCGGCGAGCCGTGACCTCCTTCCCCCCATGTGTCCACCGTCCCCCTGGTTTCGTGGGGCTCAGGCTGCCAGGACGAGCATCGGCCGCTGCCTCGGTGGCCACAGATGCCGCTGCCACACCGGGCGAGGGCCCGGGGCAGCGCTGGGCACAGACGCCGGGGCCGACCTACCGGGGGCATTTCTGTGATGGGAAAGCTGGTGGTGGAAATGCTTTTCGGAGCAATTTGGGTTCTATCTGCCACGTCCAGTCAGGTGGTTTCTGTTTTTGGGGGTGAGAGCTGGCATTCTCCTCTCCTGGCTGCCCCGCGGAGCAAACCCAGCTGTGCCACAGAGATGCTCCCGGGGTTAAAAGGAAGAGAAGCCGCGAGTCTTGGCAACAGGCTCCGCTTTCTTTTCCTTTTTCCCCCCTCAAACTGGAAGGGAGGAGCCAGCTCCTCCGGGAGTCGCAGGCTCGGCCGTTCCCGGCCCCCCAGTGCCGGCCCCGCTCTGCCCCGGCCCGGCCCCGCAGCGCTCGGCTCCGGCGGAAGCTGCTTTTAACGCCCCTTCCCCTCGTGTGGACCGTGTCGTTCCCGTCTCTGATCGTTCGATGGTTATTTTGTAATGATCTCTGTCTCCTTATTAAAGAAACGAGCTGAAAGGAGCTGGTTCCCTTCTGGTCTTGCTGCTGGGGCTGGCGGGGCATCCGCGGAGAGGGGCAGGTCCCAGGGTAGGGACCCCAGGGACAGTGGAGGGAAGGAGGTGTGAGGGGAACCCCATGAGTGCCCAGGTCCCCCGAAACATGGAATCATGGAATCACTGAGGTTGGAAAAGCCCTCTAAGATCACTGAGTCCAACCATTCCCCCCAGCACTGCCATGTTCACCACTAACCATGTCCCCAAGTGTTACGTCCACATGTCTTCTGAACACTTCCAGGGATGGTGACTCCACCACTACCCTGGGCAGCTGTGCCAGGGCCCAAACAGCCTTTCAGTGAAGACATTTTTCCCAGTATCCAACCTAAACCTCCCCTGGCACAGCTTGAGGCCATTTCCTCTTGTCCTGCCCCTTGTTCCCTGGGAGCAGAGCCCGACCACCCCCAGCTCCCCCCTCCTGTCAGGGAGTTGCAGAGAGTGAGAAGGTCCCCCCTGACCCTCCTTTTCTCCAGGCTGAGCTCCACCAGCTCCCTGTGCTTGTTCTCAGCCTTGAGCCCTGGCCCTTGGCTGAGTGTGTGGACCAGACATGGGGCACAGGTGGTCCCCACCAAATTCTTCCCCCCCGACAGAGTCTGGTCCCTACAGTCATGTTTAGGTCCTGCCCTGCTTTGCAGATGCACTGGATGCCCCCAGATCCCAAGGGAAGAGCTCAACCTGCTCCAACCACCTCTGAAGTCTGGAACACATGCAGGTTTCCAGCAGCCTCACCTGGGACAGAGGATCCCAGATGTGACACCATCACCTGCCCATGTCTTTGCCACACTTTGTCCTGACCAAACTCCTGAGAAGAGCAAACACAGGACTTGGCAGAATGGGGAGATGGTCCTGACCCCCAATGTGGTTCCAAGGAGCAGATGGGACCCTCTCCATTTTGCCTTCCCACTGGTGAGAGGCTTTCAGGGATGTGCATCCCAGTTCCTTCATTTCAGCTTCCCCTGAACAGGCACCTGTGTAGTAGCTGCTGCTGTAGCATTTGTGCTTTTATGGATGATGGACACTGTTATGCCATGAGAATTTTGGGAGAAACACGGAATTTTAGTCCAAATAACTTATAATTCCAGAAAGACGGAAGCAAGGTCAAAGCTTCTATTTTATCAACTCTTATTTTATTCATTTATAAATACTGTTGTGTTTACAAGCATCATAGCTGTGAATATTATTCCCAAACTTTCAAACACACTTATAATACTATATAACAACAACCAGTAAAACAAATCATTCATCTCAGGGTTTGAAAGGCCACTCAAAAGTTGCATAAAAATACATTCTCTCCCCATCTCATCAGCCAGTCCTGCTTCTCCAAGGAGTTTATTTACAAAGAGCCATCATAAAACTTGCAGCCACAACAGGCGGGTTCACCCCAAGCAATAAAAATGAATTCACCCCAAGCAATTGCTTAGAAAAAAACCCCTCGTGTTCCCTAAGGGAAACCACTTCTCGCAAATGCTCTGGTTCCAAGAGGGATCAGTTTTAAAACCTGCTCGCTCTGCACCCTGTCCCATGCACAGGGTTCAAGGTGTCCTGTTTGTCACCTCCTCAGTGCACTGGTTATGTCAGGCATGAAGTGAGACAAAAAAAGTTAATTCTCAAGAATTTGGTTTGCAATTGCACCGTCACTGAGAAACGCTCACAGCTTTGGCTGATCAGGGACACTGAGCTGTGGGGGCCCTCCCCCCTGCCTGGGGTTCAGGGGGGAATCCAGTGCTAAGCAGACACTTCAGCTAAAGCAGTTAGGCTTTGCAAGGTGCCAATCAGAGGAACGAGCCTCCCACAGCCTTCCCATACTGTTCCTTAGGAAAAAAACACAGTGAGTGTCCTGCTAGGAAGGGGCAAAACATCAGTGTGGGATGGGTTTGTCAGATTGGGTTGAACCCTCTCCCTAAAACAGACACCAGGCTTCTTCCTGCTGCCAGGAACCCGCCCTGTGAGAAGAACAGGATCTTTAGTGCCAACTCTCAGCCTCACCATCAGCTGGTGAGCATCTTCTCCTCCGCACGGCACAGAAGGGACCGGGCTCCTGATCTCCTGATCAGAGCCAAGAGCCCGAGGCTGGAGTGAGGAGCAGGTCACCAAGAGAGAAAACACCAAGAACAGCAGAAGTACTCACATAAAGAGTGCACCAAGAGGGAACGGCGTGCAGGGGAAGCATTGACCGGATCTCAAGACTTAAAGCTGTTAAATAGAGCAGGGTTAAAATCAAGGAATATAAAAAGGATGCCTGGTTTAGGCAGTGCTCTGCAGAAACCCTGATGCCTTTACCAGCTTTGGTCTCTTCCTCCCAAAGCTCAGCAGCAGAGGAAGGGCCTCAGTGTACCAGGAGAAACGGCACGTAACGCCATGCAAACGGCTCCACCGGCTGAAGAGGAACCTCTGGCCAGAGCTGCCTGGGAAAGATGGCAGCTCTAGGAAGAGCAAGAGAGGTGGAAACAGGCAGGACAGGGAGGGGAAGGGGGAAAGATGGAGAACTGGGTGGGGGGAGGGAACCCAAAGAGAAAAAAACCCAAGGGAGAGAAAAATAAAGATGATTTCTGAGGCAATAACCAGCAAAAGGTTCCAAAAAGCCCAGGATTTACTGATAAATTTTACCCTGTTGAGCAAGCTCAAGTATTCTGCTCAAGTATCTCATCTCTCTCTCCCAGAGCAGAGCTGCCTGGGAACGTGGGCAGAGCTGCTTCATTGCCACCTCCAGGTTCAGTGACTGAGACTGCAGCCCTTGGCCAGACAGAGCTGGGAGTCCAAGGACAAAGGGAATGAAAGGACAAATATGGAAGGATGTAGATGGGAGAGTGGTTTGGATACAGCAAGATGTCTCTGAGAGGGAAGGTATTGTTCAAGAGGAGTCAGTTAAGGGGAAGCTGAACAGACCTGATGACAGGTCCCACAGCATGGAGAGAGGAGCCAATGCCCATGGGGAGAACAATTCCAAGCTGTTCTGAGTGCATATAAGATTAAAGAGGGGTGTTTTTAGAGGTTTCCTTCAAGGTCAAGGCTTTTCACAAGCTTTTGACAGGTTAGGAGACTTTCATCACAGTGATTCAGTCACCAGCAGCTCCTTGTCTGTCTGACACCGACGCACCCTCACCTTTCCAAGGTGTGTGGGAGGACAAGTGATCACTGCTCCATGGTCCTCTGCCTTGGGATCCAGCTGTGCCAAGCTGCTTCACCAACAGAAGGGTGGGAAGGAACAGGACTCTGGCATTTCCCCTCTCTACAAATTCTGCTGCAAATCCAAGTGAGGTCCCCAAAATACCAGACCAGACTCCACTACGGGGCTCTGCCTTCATGGAGACAGCAGAATGTCCCAGATGGCTGTTAGGACAGGGAGGCTGGTCTCTGGTGTGGGCACAGCTCCCTGTGAGGTGATTCACACTCACACGTGTGTAAAAGCAGCAGAGGGTCTCTAAGGGTTCAAGCTTGTCCTTCAGAAAGCTCAGAAGATACCTCCTGACCCAAGGAGCAAGAGTCCAGGTGCAACTGGGTGCTACTAATTACAGACAGGAGCCCTGGAAGAACACAACGTGACATGGAATCACCCAGGCTGGGTGAAAGGGAGGGTGAGGGATAAGGGTCTGATGCCAAGTGTCAGTGCTGATGTTACCAAACAGGTTCAAAATCTTAAATAAAGGACTGGGTCTACTGGGGCAAGAGGAGGAGAAAGTCTCTGTGCAAAGCAGCCTGTGACAGACATGAGCCCAGGTGGCTTTCACAGCATCACATTTAGCCAGTCCCACATCTCAGTGGGTTGATGTGCATCCTCAGAGTTCCAGCCTGGGTTCACATTTCCCACCTGTACAGGGCTTGGATGTGCTGGATTAGTTTTTGAGGTGTCACTTTTTACAGTAGGAGCTTCCCACTCCAGGTCAGAGTCCGACACCAAATACTGGGCTTCTGGAAGAAGTTTTGGCAGCTCAAACCCAGTCCTCACGTTTCTCCCTTGAATAAAATGTCCGAGATACCACAACATGCTTAAATTAAAAATAATAAAATGGCAGGGGGTGTGTTGGAGGAAAATAGGGGTAGAAAGGGAATGTACAGCAAAGGGCAGGGCAAGGCAGGTGTGACATTGATCCCATGGCTGAAACACTTGCTGTACGTGACAGATGGGGAAGGGGGGGGAGGGCTCGTGGTGGGGTTGGCAGCTGGTGTAGGGCCCCTCCTCATCCTGCCTTTGCTCAGGATTCCTATTTGGAGAGTTTGCTGATGACACGAATGAGGGCTCCATTCTCATCCTTCAGCCTTTGGTTGTCCGACTTCAGCTCTGTCAAAATCTGCAGAGAGACAAAGACAAGGTGGGATCAGAGCTCAGCTCAGATGACCAGAGGGGACGTTGCATCCCCTCCACCAGCACAGTTCCATTTCTCTGGAGCATCTCCAGAGCTGTTACAAGCTGGCTGCCAGGCGTGGAGGGTGAGAGGGGACTGGAGCACAGCAGAGCCAGGGAGCCCCGAGCCTGGAAGTCCGTGGTGCAAAGCAATGCCATGGCCCCAGCAGCAGGTCAGCACCAGGCTGGGAGGGCAGGAACCACTTCTGAGCTGTTTCACCCCAAACCTGTGCCCAGAGGCTAATTAGAGCTCAGCACAAAATGATAAAGCTGGTTTTCCTGCTTTGGTTTTTTCCATTTTGCCAGGACTAGAGAGGAAAACAAAGGTCTGAAATTCTCACTTAGGACTGGACCCTGCAAAATCTCTTTAGAATACCCCCAAATCTCCTTGGGACCCCACAGATGTGTAACACATGCTGAGGCCAGAGGACTGGTAGAACACACTGACACTGGAGGTACCTCCTGGGTGCTCAACCAAGGGTTACAACACAGACAAAAGGCTGAGCACTTTGGAAATAGAGAAGAAATAACTCCAACAAGACCCTTCCAGCATTTCTAATTGGCATAAACCCTCCCAACTTCCCATGCTCCCCATGCTGCAGGTGGGTGACCTTCAGTGGACTGTTCCTGGCTGTTGGGGCACCAGGAGGAGACTCCCTACCCCCATCCTGGTGTGACAGACAAGGGGTCACTCCCACCACAGGTGCCAGCAGACCACAGGGTGACCTGCTGGAGCATACTGGGGGACAGCAGGGTCACACACAGGCATGAACAGCACCGGTATAAGCTCAGCCATGACTTCTCTCTGCCAGGAATCTTGGAGGAATTCCCCCAAACCCAAAATCTGCACTAAATCTTCTCCTTCCTCCTAAGCTGGAGTTTCAGCTCTGACCACAACACCTGCTCCCCTCCACCTGCAGCCCCTCCACAACCACTGGCACAGAGTGCAGGCAGTTCCTGGGGCAGTGCTGGAGCAATTCCCTCCTTTCACAGTCAGGTCAAGCCATGGTGGCCCCAATACTCCCAACCCCATCCCTGTGGGTGCTGGTGGTGGATGGTCCAGGCAGGAGGTTTTGCTAGAGAGGGAAGAGGGGAATGGTACCACATGGTGGGATAGTGGGGAAAGGGTAAACTGATGTGCTGGGCTGGCCAGAGCTCCAGCTAGTGACACTGGAAGTGTCTCCCTGGACCCAGGGGTGGTGTGATGTGCATCACCATGGCTGGGCTGTCACCAGAACAGCACTTATGGCTCCTTACAACATTTCTCACGGCCAAAGGAGAGGCATTGCCATCACCAAGTGCTCAGGAGCTCAGAGACAGGGCAGAGCCCTTGCTGTCTCTGCACCTTTATGCTTCCTCCTGAGCTTCACCCAGGGCTCAGTCTGGTACCTCCCAGTGCTCTGTGACAGCTCAACCACCCACTGGAGTCTGTGGATGGACAGTCCTTGTCCTCCCCTGCCTGGAGTGGATAAGTGCCCATCGCTGTGATAAGGGGGGTACCAAGTCCTGCCACTCACTTTGGTAGAGAGAATCTGTCACAGGATCCCAGAAACAACTCCAGAGAGACCCACCCTGGTCCCACAGCTCACCGGGAGCTCTGGCAGCAGCTGTACCTCACACATGGGCTCCAGGCAACTTCAGTGATTTATTTAAAAATGAAGAAGTATAAGTGCATGTAAAATAAGTGTCTCTGAAAAAGTTTCCTGGTTGTATCCCTGCTCCCATCAGTGTCCAGTGAGCCTTTCTGAAAGCAACACATCAACACTACACAATTTCACCTTCCTGAGCCAAGGGTGTTCCTCCCTTTGAAGCTGAGTGGCCTCAAGTTGGGTAAAATAAACAACATGTGAACAGGCTGGGGCTGGAAACTACAGCTTTATAGGTGTCTCAGGTGTGGTGAGGAGGGATGTGGCCTAGCCCCAGGGGATGGCAGGGCTGACAGTGATGCAGTGTCGGTGTAAAGTCAGTTTTGGGCTGGAGGATGGTCTGAGTAGCAGGGCTCTGTGTTACCTGTGATACTGGAGAAGGTGGCTCCTCAGAAATTATGTGAGTTTGGGAAAATGGGGTTCTTTGAAAAGCACTGCTGCTGCCAGGGCATGGTGAATATGAAACCAGTGGCATCATTGTACAGCTGTGATGTCCACAGACACCTCTGAGCCAGGGTTTACATGTGCAGCAACAGCCTGTGTTAGACCTACTAAAAGAGTTGAAATAAATCAGTGGAACAGCATATTGCTCTTCCCCAGCTTGAGCACTGCAGGGAATGGCAAACCTGAGTGAGGAGGGAAGGATGAGCCTGGCCACAGCTCAGCCAGACAGGTCACCCCTGAGCAGGGGGGGATGGAAGGGAAGTGATAACCCAGGTACTTCCCGGGAGGAGAAGAGAAGTGACTTGCAGGTGGTGAAACATCAGTTCTCTGAGTCTGGAAATGGTTTTGCCCAATTTTCCCTCTCAGATCGCAAAGTACGTGGGGAAGAAGAATGATTCATGGCTTGTGAGAAGGAATGAGACAAGGATGGGTTGGAGGATACTTTTGCAGATTTAAAACAGAAAGGCAGTGAGATCATTGCACCTGACCATCTGCACAATCCAGGGCACACAGCACGACACTCGACTCTCCCAGCCCCTGGGACACACATGTGGGCTTGAGCTGAGACTCCTGGAAAGGGGAAGCCACAATTCCCCTGGTTAGTTTGTTTCTATGGCTAATCAGCCTTGATATAATTTGTGTGCTAAGAATAGATTTTTTTATACCGTGGTGCCACTTCCAGCCCACAAGAGCACAGTGTTTCTGTGTCTGAAGGGATCTGAATATCCCTACTAACCTGCAAAGGACAGGCAGGGCCCTGAGAAAGGAGCAGTTACAGCTTTATTTTAGCACACAGCCAATGAAGTAGCAGGAAGGGATGTAATTTAGTTGTGTGATGTGCTAGGGCAAAGCTTAGGAAAGGGTCATCTTTGGGTTTCAAACACTAATTGCCCTGCACTGGATTTAAAACAGAAGATGGAAACACAAAGCACTCCTGGTCCAGCTCCTGCTGGGTCCTCCATCCTGCACCAGCCCACAGGAGGCAGGGGGGATGTTGAACCTGTGGGCTCAGACTCAAAAATCTCCATTTAACATGAGGGAAGGAGGTTGTCCTCTTTGCTCAAGTGACCAAGAAAAACTGCTGAGGACAGCTCAGTTTGTAGTTTTTCTAAAAATCCTCTTTCTGTCTAAAATGTACACTTTTCACAACATCCCTACCAATTTATGACACTGTTCATCCTGACTTTGGATTATCTGATTTCCTGAGTGCCAGCTTCTCCCTGAACTAAGTCCAATTAAAAAAGAATTCTATTATGGGCTGACATAGAGCATGAACCATCTATTTTCAGATGTCCAGGGTCCAGGTTGGATGGGGCTTGGAGCAACCTGGTCTAGTGGAAGGTCTCCCTGCCCATGGCAGGGGGCTGGAATGAGATGAGCTTTAAGGTCTCTTCCAATCCAAACCAGTCTGGGGGTCTATCTCCAGGCAGGGTACTGGGCATAGGGCTGCTGGCACTGCCAAGCCACCCCAAAGCCATTCCCCAGTGCTAAGCTGGCGAGGTTGGCAGCACTGCCAAGCAGAGCGAGAGCCAGCGGGATGAGCAGAGCCTCCAGCAAAGCTCTGCCATGGCAGCAGCACCATGCTTTTGGAATTTTGAGGATTCTTTGCCACAAGCTTTTGAGCCACAAGTTTCACCAGACACCCTGGACAGCAGGGAGGCGAGGGAACAGCCCGGCCAGGGAGCGGAGACCTGCCTGGGAGAGTGGAACAGGGAGGCGAGATGAGCCCGAGGGAAAGCAGCTACAGCTCCTCTGATTCTGAGGGCTTGGTGGGCAGAGAAAGTCTGGCTACGACCCGGGTCAGAGCCCTGTTCTCAGCCAGCAGTTGCTCATTCATCTGCCTCAGGGTGTGAATCTGTTTGAGCTGGTGGAGATTCTGCAGAGAGTGAGAGGAATGGATAGAGAAATACAGAGAGAACATCACGGAGACAAACGGGCACAGAAATGTGAATTTAGTCCACAGGGAGTGAAAGGAAAAAAGAGAGTAAAAGAAAAATTAGTAGCAGTGAGTGCTGGATAGGGAAAACCTGTCAACACACTGAGGATGTTTTGAGAACCCTCCCTTTCTCCAGGGGCTCCCAAAGCCTTAAAAAAGGTCAAATGAAGTGGTTTTCCACCAAAAAGCTGGATTATATTCTAGTTTACCCAGACAGCCCTGGGACTTGGGAACTGCTGTGAGAACTATCACCATTGACTTACCACCTACACAGGCTCTGAAAGCACTGCTGGGAACTGAGAATTTCTTTAAAACTTCTTTTCTTCATGTTTCTCTAAAAGTTAAAGCAGTTGTGTAGAGCAAAGAGCGATCAGAGCTTCATGGGAGATTGTAAAGGTACAGACCTAAAGGTACAGCATCTGCAAGTGTCACTGTCCCACAGCAGATCACTGAGACAGGTACTGTGCCTGCTCGTGTCCCTTGTTCCTCAGTGATGCTCCTGGGTCTGCCAAGGCTCAGTCCCACCAAAATGTTTGAGGTTTGGGGAGGTTTTTCACCCCTGCCCAAATTCAGCTCTTCTCTGGGGCTCAATTTATCTCTGACCTCCAGAGGTGGCAAGTCTGAACCTTAAGTCTCTCATTTGAGCTGGAGGAGTCTGAATGAGAGCATCTCCCACAGGAGGGATGTACCAGCCTGGCATTCTTGGTGACAAAGGCAATGGTAAGCACAGGGCAGTGCAGAGATTGAGCCCCACGCTGGGGCTTGCAGAGGTACAAACTGGGCACAGATACAAACTGGGCACAGATACAAACTGGGCACAGATACAAACTGGACACAGGTACAAACTGGGTCTTGCACAGGTACAGAGGCAATGGGAGGTAGGGAACAGAAAAGCCATGAGGGAAGCAGAATGTGGAAATGGTACAAGCCAAGCAGACATCCCAGTGCCACACGGACGACACTTTGCCAGTGGTGCAAAAGCTAATCCATGTGCTGGACATTTACACCAACGTGGGTGCCAGCAGATGTCAGGGCTATGGAGCTGCTTCCTGAGCCATGGCCTGACCCTCTTTCCTACTCAGAACTCATCAGGCAGAAGGGCCATGAGAACAAGAACCCCTGCTGAACAGTAACCCCTCCTGCATGGTGGGGGGAGCCCCAACACTGGACAGGGGAAGGCAAGAACTGAAATATTGAAAAGAAGAGTTGTAAGTTCAAGTGACAAAATCCCAGCTCTGAACCAAAGTAGCTCCACAAAGCACCATGCTCTTCCCCATGTGCTCTGACTTGTGAGCTCGCAGCAGCAGGAGGAAATGGAGGGAAGGGTCTCTGGGGAAGGGGATTCCTTTTTGCCATTTCATTAGCAGAACGCACTCCAAGGGAGGTCACTGTCTGTCCTGAACCAGGAGCTGCACAAATAAATCTACTGCATCACAAAGAAGCTGCAATGACCACCCACTCAACCTGCACGTCTTAGGTTGCCCAGAGAAGCTGTGGCTGCCCCATCCCTGGAAGTGTCCAAGGCCAGGTTGGACTGGGCTTGGAGCAACCTGGGCTAGTGCAAGGTGTTCCTGCCCATGGCAGGGGCTGCAACAAGATTAGCTCTGAGATCCCTTCCAACCCAAACCAGACTGGGATTCCATGATGACCAAGAGCTGGTTGCAGCTGGTAAGGAACCTGCTGCATCCCAGGACATTTTGTCCAAGGGCTCATTCCTGTACAAAACAGAAGTACTTTGTGTATGCCCCATCCATCAGCTCCATTCTTAGCTGCCCAAAAGCACTACCTCTGCTCCTCATGAAGGAATGAAGACACCCTGTTGAAATGCTTTGCAAAACCAACAGAAGTAAGGTGGGGAGTGCAGGGAACCAGCAAAGTATGGGGCTTGAGCCCTCTGAGATCATCAAACTGACAAAGCAGCTCCTTGGACACACCAATGCAATTCTGACACTGGATAAATCAACAGGTCCCGAGACAGAGCTACGGCCAACAAACTGCAGGAGAGCTGCAGGGACACTTCAGCAGTGAGATCTCACCACATCCCATCCATCCATCCATCCATCCATCCATCCATCCATCCATCCATCATCCATATATCCATATATCCATCTACCCCTTCACCCGCCCGAGCTGTGCTGGCTGCCTGTGCACCAGAAGCTGCCAGAGGATGGTTGTACTGGAAGAGTCACTTCTTTTGGTGGTACCAAAGGCAGCTGAGGTCACTTGGTCTGTTCAGACTGGAGAAGAGAAGCCTGAGATTAGACCTCATTGGGGTTTGCAGCTTCCTCATGAGGGGCAGTGGAGGGGCAGCTCCGACCTCTGCTCTGTCTGAGCAGTGACAGGACCCGAGGGAACGGCTGGAGCTGTGTCAGGAGAGGTTTAGGTTGGATATCAGGAAAAGGTTCTTTCCCCACAGGGTGGCTGGGCACTGGAATAGGCTCCCTCAGGCAGTGGTTATGGCCTCAAACCTGCCAGAGTTCAAGGAGTGTCTGGACAATGCTCTCAGGTACATGGTGTGACTCTTGGGGTCCTGTGCAGGGCTAAGGGTTGGACTCGATGATCTCTGTGGGTCCCTTCCAGCTCAAGAGATTCCATGATTCTATGATACCATGGACAATAAGCATCCTCTGCTTTACCACAGGGCTCACAGCTGGCAGAAAAAATCCAACATATGTAAAATGAGGTGTTGTGCTACGCGAGGTGGAAAGGACTGTGATCATTTCAGAGACCACCTTTGTTTTTCCACACCAACACAGCACGAAACCTCAGCCTGGTCCCATCAGCCGCCGCTCAGCCTCAGCATGCTGCACAGCCCACAGGAAGGATCATTTATGTAAAAATGTACATATGCTGCAGGTAGGCCAGGCTCCTATTTATCCAAGAAACTCAGCAAAGACTGGGAAGCTGGGACTGAAGCCAAGAGTGAAGACCAGGATCTGGATGATACTGCTGTGATTGCTTATCACTCTGCTTGATACTTGGCTTAGCCAAAGCAGGTCTCTCAGTTCAGCTGTACTTGCCTTCAGTTAAAGGATTCTGTGCCTGCAACACTGGGGGAAACAAAAACGCCCGGAGCGTGCACGATGGCCGAGGCCAGGAGCTGCTACGGAATAAAGAAGCTTCTGTGACCTTCAAGAAAAATTGCTCTGTTCAGTTGGGACCTTGGGCACTTGGCACTGAATTCAGCTCAGTGCAAATGTTAATTTTCTTTCTCCTGTCTCAGCCAAGGTTCTGGATCTCCAGTCAAATTCTGCAGTTGCTCAGGGAAACGCTGCACCACTCTGTCACCTTCGCAAGAGCAGGTCTGAGGAGCAGCTCTGCCACCAAGGTTCTTGGGATTGCTGAGCCCGTCCCGCTCCTCTGCACTTCTCGATGGCTTTGTTAGCAGGGGTTACACTCAGGACAGGAACAAAGCTCATTGCCTCAAGCACAGTCTGAAGTACAAAGCATTTCTGTCACCTGTGAGGAGAATCCTGGCCAGGACATCTGATGTGTGGAACTGGATATACACTACCTGGGATCAAGTAGCTGGATGTGAGCCTTGCTGGATCTGTTTGATTCAAAGACTAGTGGAAAGAATCCCCCAAACCAACCTGACACCTTATTACCTGGCAAGTTTGGTTGCTTCCCACTGCTGAATAACCTTCCATGTTCAAGGAAACTGGTGGATTTGCTTACTCCTTTCCAATTCCTTCTTTATTCCTTCTGACTCTGCTTGACAGCTACTCAGGCAGCGCATGGAGCAGGAATGAAAGTCCAACCAGAATTAACAGATTTTTTCCCTGGCTCAATTCCCACACTGGGGACTAACAGGGATGCTCTGTGGAGGTTATCTCACTGCAGGCAAACACAGCAGGGCTGACTCTCCTGCTTCAAGGCACGATGAGAGTGGACACAAAAGTGCTTTTCATATGCACAGGTCCAATTCAATACTTCTTTCTTCAGAAATCTTATACTCCTTTTTATTGAGTGGCTGTCAAAAAAGATGTCACAGTGCCCTCAGGTACTCACTCACCACGCGCTGAAGGTTTTGCAAACACTAGTGAAAATGCAATAGTGCCTCAGAAGAGAGATGTTACAATTTCTTATCTATTTATTCTACTAAGAAAAGGTCACTTTGGTTATTTGATGCAGCAAGAACAGTGCAGAGAGCAGAGTCAGCACCACTCTGAGGACCTGAAGCTCATTTTCAGCCGGACCACAGACTCCTTCAGCCCACACCTCTTGGGGCAGTGTGAGAACACGTGCAACCTCTGGGAGTGCTTCTTCTTCTGCACCACCTTGGCTTCCATCACTCTGTAGCTCTGAATTATCCAAACCAGAGGTGTTCTGGCTGTGTCCAACAGTCCCTACAGGCACCTTCCTTCATTAACTGCTCTTCAAACCACCATCAATGTTCCCAAACAGAGAAGCCACTAGAGGACACCACCTTGTCTTCTTACTCCATGGGCTGAGCTGGTTTGCAGTGATCTGGAGAGCTGAAGGACCAACACAAACTGCTCCTGCCTGTGTTTCTCTTGAAGGCCACAATTCTGTAATTACAGGAAGGTCTCACTGAACAAAGAGGTTGGAATTTAGGCATGTCAAATCCTTTCTTCTCCCCCTCCTGGCTTGAACATCCACACTTATTTTCTCCTCTGTGAGGGAACAAGAGCCTTTACAGAAGACTCCACCACATCATTCTGCTACTAATCACAGCAGAAGATGCAGTACAAGCCACTGATCCTTTCAAAGCTTCAAAGAGAAACACAATGTTGGAATCTCCTCCAGAATGGCAGGAACTCATTTCCACCAGCAAACCGGGAGAGCTCTCAGGTGGGTTCTTCTGAAAGCAGCTTAGTCCCACCTGGGTCATGCTCAAAGGGAACAGAAGCATGGGCAGAGAGCAAAGGGGACATTCATTCTGTGAACACGAGCGTTAAAACACAGTGTAATGCTAAAACACGACGTGATGCTGCAAAACCAGTGTGAAATTTTAGGTGCACAAAGGCAGCAAGATGCTGCCTCCTGCTCTGCAGTGCTCAGCCCCTGCTCCCAGGGCAGGAGAGAACCATCCTCGAAGCAGGACCATGAGAGAGAGAACACGACGGTGGCGATGGCTTGTGACACTAAGCCATGCTGCACATCTCACCAGGAAGCAAGTTCATCTTGGCTGAAATTATCACAGGCCTCCACAGCCTCCCAGTGACATGCTCTGGGGACACAATCACTCTGTGTTTTGTCCTGGCCAGTGTGCGTGAGCTCAAAAGCCAGCTTTGTCTTCTTACCCATCCGGAGAGAACTTCAGCGGCTTAACTGGGGCTGCAGACTAGTCAGAGCACAGGGGGTCAGCACACTGGAACTCAGCGATGCCACAAAAGGTTAGTTTGGGAGGGCATTTAAGGAGAACAGCTTTCGCCATCCTCAGATCAAACAGCAGAACAAATCAAACATAGGAGCAATCAGATGAATGAGAACAGGACAGTTTATTAGCATTTCAGGTTTGGAGAACAGGGCCATTGAAGCCTGACTGCAGAAAGGAATGCGGGTCCCCTCCCATGGACACCTTTAATATCCTCCTCCTGGGCGACAATCCCAAAAGACATGAATACAAAATGGAATAGACACAGTGAAGATTATTTCTTACCTTCATCTCCTCCTCCATTTCAGAGAGTTTCCGCTCCAGGGCTCGCTTCTCCTGTTTACAAGGATTCATAACAAAGAGGGTCACAAGATTTGAGAAGAAAAATTTACAGTATATTTTCTTTTACAGAAAAATAAGGGTCTTGTATTTCTGTAGGAGCATTCACTGAAGAGCACCCCAAAGCAAGGCAGAGGCTGCAAAGCTGTAAAGTTGACTGCCTTAGGTGTATTGTGGAAAATGAGGATTACACAAGTAGGCTCTGCCATGTGAGTGCTGGTGGTGCCCTCAGCTAGAGCCTGTGCCAGAGTGCAGATCTGGATGCCTCCAATGATTTTCCCAAAATGAGGGGGCTCACAACACCCCAGGGACATGCCCTGAGAAGGGAGAAATAGGAAATGTGGGTCAGGAACAGGATTTACACTCTCTGTCCTGCTCCTTTGCCCTCTGCAAAGAGACACAAGGTCAGGACAGTGAGAAAAATGCACCTGCTGGGTGTGGCTGTGCATGATGAGTTTTGGGTCACTTTTTGTCCCCAATGTACTTTGTCCAGGGATTCATCAGTGCAAAATGCATGAGCCATCCTGGGAACAGCTAATGCCATCTTCACTGAGAACAGTTGGGCTCTTTTTACTCTCTAACTCTCAGAAAGCTGTATTTGTGGCTGTTGTGATCCTATTTCAACAAAAATCAAGCTGGATGTTGCCATAACTTCAAGACCAAGGGGAAGGTCCTGCCCCTGCGTTGGCAGCCCCTGGTATCAACCCAGGCTGGGGGATGAAGAGATTGAGAGAAGCCCTTCAGGCTTTTGCTTTGTTCCCCCACCACGCCAAACCAGTCTTTATTTATAAAGGATCAAGAATATTCTAAAGCATAATGGACCAACAGTCTCTTAGTGTGATACAATCCGTTGGTCTGCAGTTTCCTATAACGAAAGAGAGAAATCAGAATGAAGCTGATGTGCAAAGAAGAGCAGCAGAGTCTCAGGCCCTGAAAAGGTCAGAACACAATTATCACTGTGAGCTGGCAAAAATACAACTTATCTTTTAATTAACGCTTTCCTTCTAGAAATGACTCTGCCCTGCACAGCAACACGAGGCAACGACTGCGACTCAGAAGAAAGCAGAGACACGTACCCTCTTCTCCATCTCCAGCATGCTGGACCGGTCAGAAGTTTTCTCCTGTTTCTGCTATGGAAATTAAAAATAGAAAGTGATTAAACCCGACAGCACTCACAGGGTGTGGCACAAAGGCTGAGACAGCCCACAGATGCTCCTGCCCAGAGAGGCAGCAAGGCTTTACAGAATCACTCACTTATTTCTGTGAAAAACAACAGTCTCTTCTATAGCACCTTCCCTCCCAAGAGCATCCTTCCAGGAGCTCCCCCCTCCTTTTCCCATCCTGGAACAGGTGTTGGTTCATCATGGGTAGTATTCAGTTCCTCCAGTCAGGACCTGGATTTTCCCTCACCTGGGCTGCTTTTTCCAACTTTGCTTTGATGTCAGCCAGCTCAAGCTGGGCTTCTTGCAGCTTTGACTTCAGCTTTTGATTTTCAGACAGAGCGCTCTCGTACAACTGAAACACAAAACAAGAGCTCAATTACCCAGGTTGCTCCTGGTTAATTAACCCTGTCCTGCTGTGCTGCTCTGAGCAGACATGTGCCCTCAGCACTGAGCTGTGGGGTTGCATTTGCTCCCCCACATCAGGAGATGAGAATAAGGGCAAACAGAACCAGTCTGGATGCTTTACTTGTGTTTTTGCATGAAATAAGAAAATAGCTGTTGAATTTTGTAGTGAGTTTAAACACAGCCAAGAGGCAAAGAAAAAGGATGGTTTTAGTTTAGGTAATTCTTTACTCAGAGGGTGATGAGGCTGCCCTGAGAAGCAGTGGCTGCCCCATCCTTGGAAGTGTTCAAAGCCAGGTTGGACAGGGCTTGGAGCAGCCTGGGCTAGTGGAAGGTGTCCCTGCCCGTGGCAGGGGGTGGAACGAGATGAGCTTTAAGGTCTCTTCCAACCTAAATCATTCTGTGATTCCATGGAACAGACAAAATGAAAACGAACTTTCTCTCTGTCTTCCCACAGACTCTCAAGGGCAGGTTTCTGCAGCAACAGGCAGGTTCTGTGGTGTGTGTGATGACAGTAACACATTTAAAAAACTCCTACTTTTTTATAGTCCCTGTTGCTCTCCTCCTCCGCGCGGCTGCTGAGGGCAGCGAGCCGGTTCTCCCTCCGGCTGTAGGCACTGGAGCGGCTGGAGGCACGGTCACTGTAGGACGAGTCACTGGTGCTGGGGTTTGTAGCTGCTTCCAACCTGGAACAGGATGAAGATCCAGCACCGTGGAGCTGCTGTAACTTGGAACAGCCAGCACGGACCCGACTGGTTGGGACTGGAGGCTGTGGCAGTCCCGGCTGAGCCGGGGCTCTGGGATGGGTGGGAGCATCTCCATCTGCTGCTGGGCATCGCTGCCCAAAACCCGCAGTCACCACCCAATAACAACAGGAAAACACACCCTGGGCACTAGCCCAGCCCCCGTGGGCAGTGATTTCCCATGGATCTCTTATCTCCGTAGTGGGAAAAGGCTCCATTTCTAACAGGCCACTGACGGTTTTTCATCTCTGCAGTTAAATAATTTAGGGAGCAGAGGACAGAAGCAAACTGGCCCCACAGTTGAGCTCAGGAAAGAACCCAAATGGCCAGTACCAGACCAAATGTGCACTCCCCCGTGCTTCAGGGGACAGGGTTTGGCTTCAAAGCCATACAAAAACATGCTGTCAATAAATATTACATAGGAAAAAAAATAAAGAAAAAAAGAAAATTCTTACCTGGAAAGTCTTTCATGCTGAAGGGGGAAAAAAACGAAAGAAAAAGGGAATTAATAATGAGGAGAATTAAAGGTTCAGTTCAACAACTGCAGAGGTGCAAGGCAGCAGTAATTTCCCACCTCTGATACCAGCACCCAGCTCACACCAGGCTACACAGAGATTTCCCAGCACAAACTAAGAATCTCCAATCCCTTCCTGAATCTTCATCTGCCTCAGTTCCTCTGAAGCATTTCAAGTTTTACTTTCTTTTGCTCACCTAAGAAATCCTGAACCTTGCTCTTCAATTCCTCATTTCCACAACTGAAATCCTTTCCTTTGAACCCAAACTTATCTACTGTTTCCCTTTTTCAGTGAAGTTATTCTTCCTGCCTTTCATCCCTGTCCTGTGTGTGATGTGCGTGAGGGGGATTAACAGACACAGGGAGCTCCCAGCATGTTTGTGTTGAACTTCAGGAAATCACAAACACTGTTTTTCTCTCCATGGGCAAGTACTCCTTGGAGTAAAGCTTCACCACGGCATGGAGAGACACAACAGCAGCTGCAGGAGGGAGGAAGAAGACTCTTAAACCAGGTGGACATGTTGGTTGAAGCCTGTGGTACATTCTTCTTTCTCTATCAACATCCAAACCTCTCCATTGCCTTTGGACATTGAGGGGCTGGAGTGTGTCCAGAGAAGGGAATGGAGCTGGGAAAGGGGCTGGAGCACCAGGAGCAGCTGAGGGAGCTGGGGAGGCTCAGCCTGGAGAAAAGGAGGGTCAGGGGGGACCTTCTGGCTCTGCAACTCCTTGACAGGAGAGTGGAGCCAGGGGGGATCTGCCTCTGCTCCCAGGGAACAATGGACAGGACAAGAGGAAACGGCCTCAAGTTGTGGTAGGGGAGGTTTGGACTAGATATTGGGAAAAATTTCTTTCTGAAGAGGGTGCTCAGGCCCTGGCACAGGTTGTCCAGGACAGTAATGGATGCCCCATCCCTGGAATTGTTCAAAAAAGATGGGATGTGGCACTTGTGTGGCAAACATGGGGAATGGTTGGGCTCGATGATCTTAGAGGGCTTTTCCAACCTTAATAATTCCATGATTCTATGAATATCCTACAGCGGCTGGTTGTGGCAAACCACTGTTTTAATACAGTTTCATGGATCAGACAATTCTTTCCCACAATTGCAGAAATCCAGTGGTGATGGCACCGCTGTCCTGCAGGACAGTCACCTCCTCCATGAGGTTCCTCTCTATCTGACAGATATTTACTCAAATTCCAGGTGCATTCCAATTCTTTATAGCCCCTTGAACCAGAAATTGAGCCCAATATTCCTCTGCTGATTTATCAGCAGCATCATTGCTCTTACAAACCTCCCACAGGCACTTCCAGCCATTTCCCTACGTCCTTTTTAATAAAGAGTCAACACAAAGGAACCACAGAGCAGACGAGGGGTCAGGCTTTTAGTGCCCAGACGTGCTGGTGCTGGAGCTTGCACTCCCAGCTACACCAGTAAATCCTGTGCTGATGCCTTGCTGGGGGGCAGACGTGCTGCCTGTCTGGCACCTCAGGGATTGAACACTTCAGACCTCCTGCTCCAACCTGGCACTGCTGCCTCTGATCCTGGGCACGGATCTGGGAGCACATGCCATGGAGAGAGGAATTAACTCACCCCATTATATGGAGGAGAAGGGCAGGGACAAGTGACCCGGCCAAATCTCCACTCAAAGCCAGAGGAGCACGGGGGCAAGTCCCTGTCACTGTCTGCCAGGGTATGGGCACCAGCTACCCATTGTACCTGGTTACTAAGTTTTCAGTCCATTCCATACTAAATGCAACCCTCATCTTGCATCTGATTTGAGACAGGAGTGTCCCCAGGGACCCTGCAATCCCCGGGCTCTGCAGCACAGCCTCTGACACGACGCAGGAGCTGCCCCAGGGCCAAAGAGATTAACTGAAGGGACCCGGCACGAGTGAAACCTTGTGGATGGACAACACACTCAGCAAAGCTCCTGTGTGCAAAGCTCAAAAGGACAAGCAAGCCCTGCTATGAATCAACACGTTCTCCCTTGAGCTGTGCCCGCAGGGCCACCCTCAGCCGGGCTCTTGGGTGGGTACAGTGCCAGCCCCACCCTGTAGACACTGTCACTAAAACCCTGAGTTCGTCCCAGCCCAGGATTATTTTATTTGCTCTGACCCTCTCTCTTCTTTGCATCTTACAGGTGAAGAACCTCCCAAGGAAGACAGCAGATGACCTTCCACCATGGCTAAGCTGCACTGCACCTCCACAAGCCATGTCAGATTCTGTCTGGGAAGCATCTCATGGGACTCAACGCCTGGCAGCTGCCTCATGTCATGACAGGGACATGGGAGTGCTTGTCCCAACAGTCATGGCTTGGGCCACGCTCTGTACGAAGCTCAGAGGCAGCAAGCTGGGTCATAGTTTCTGTACAGCTGGTCTCTGGCACGGGGCTGTCGTTACAAAGCCAGACCATAAATCCAACCACATCCTGGGCTCATCCCCCAGCGTGGGCAGCAGGAGAGGGGGGGATTCTGCCCCTCTGCCCTGCTGAGGTGAGACCCCACCTGCAGAGCTGCCTCCAGCTCTGGGATCCCAATAGAAGAAGGATGTGGAGCTGTTGGAGCAAGTCCAGAGATACTCTGAGAGTGGAAGCCCCTCTGCTCTGGAGCCAGGCTGGGAGAGCTGAGGGTGTACTGGCCATGGAAGAGAAGGCTTCAGGGAGACCTTAGAGTCCCTTCCAGTGCCTAAAGGGACTCCAGGAGAGCTAGAGAAGGACTTTGGACAAGGGATGGAGTGACAGGACAAGGGTGAATGGATTCCCGCTGCCAGAGGGCAGGGTGAGATGGGATATTGGGAAGAAATTCTTCCCTGTGAGGTTGGGGAGGCCCTGGCACAGGTTGCCCAGAGAAGCTGTGGTTGCCCCATCCCTGGAAGTGTTCAAGGCCAGGTTGGATGTGGCTTGGAGCAACCTGGGACAGTGGAACTCCATGGCAGGGGAATAGAATGAGATGAACTTTAAGGTCTCTTCCAACCCAAACCAGTCTGGGTTCTACGAAAGATTTCCTGTTTTCAGCCATGCACACGCTGATCTTACCATGGTGCTTTATTAGCTGAGCTTTCAACATTTGCTTCTTAAACCCCTCAGCAGCCTGACAGCTCCTTTTGAATTCTGGTCCAGTGACCCAACCTTCCCTGAAGACTGGGAGAAGGGAATTAGGCAGTGATTAACAAGCCTCTTGTTGAAAGTTATTTGTGCACTTTATGCTAATCCCCTTCAATGGTGACTTTTGTTAGGATGACAAATGGCTGGGTAAGTAATCCACTCCATAGCAAGCCTGAATTTATTTCAACAAACACACCTGCCAATGGATTTGAACAGTGCTGGAAATCCCCACGTGGCTGAGCAAGGCCACGTGGAAACCGGGCACTGAACCCGAGCAGGTCCCCTCACCAGCCTGGCCACTTGCAGCACAAGGAAAAACCACTTTTGTTCCGTTTTTTCCTCCAAAGAAACTAAAATTTCCATAGGCAGGGGAGAGCAGGGGCGGGATTCTGCAAAGGAATCAAGAAAGGAATCACTTTAAACATATACAGCAAAAAGGGGACAAACCCAGGATTACTGTATTTACAACCTCCCTGTGATGGTTACTGAGACAGACTTGTTCAGACTGGGACTGTCTCTATGTGGATAAAGGGAAGCAAAGTGCCAGATGAGAGGGGAGGACCCACATCATTCCTGTGCTGCTTCCAGCATTGAGCAGAGCCATCCTGCAGTGACCTGGAAACATGGAATCACAGCATCACTCAGGTTGGAAAAGCCCTCTTGGATCACTGAGTCCAACCCTGTTCCCAGGTGTCACATCCACTTGCTTTCTGAACACATCCAGGGATGGTGACTCCACCACTGCCCCAGGCAGCCTGTGCCAGGGCCTGACCATCCTTTCAGGGAAGAAATTTTCTAAAATATCCAATCTAAACCTCCCCTGGTGCAACTTGAGGCCATTTCCTCTTGTCCTGTCCCTTGTTCCCTGGGAGCACAGCATTCCCACCTGGCTCCCCCCTCCTGTGAGGGAGTTGCAGAGAGTGAGAAGGTCCCCCCTGAGCCTCCTTTCCTCCAGGCTGAGGCCCCCCCAGCTGCTCCTGGTGCTCCAGACCCTTTCCCAGCTCTGTTCCCTTCTCAGGACATGCTCAAGCACCTGCAGTCACACTGGGGCTGCTCCAAACAAAACCTGGGTGTTCCTTAGTGCTCAGGGATTTCTCTCCCTGTGACTTTATCTCCCTTTAAGCTCATCTCTGCCAACAAACGACCCCAGTGTCTTCCAGAAACAGCCAGGAACCGCGGGAATCGACGTGATTGCAGCCGTTGGGGAAGCTGGTGTCCATCGCTCACCTTCCAGCTTTTGGGCCTCTCTCCATGTTATTTCAGTTAAAACTGGCATTTTTGAGAAAAAAAAATTAAGTTTGAGAGACTGAGGTGTGGAAGGCAGAGCCTGAGGGGATGTGACAGCAGCTGTTGGCGTGCCCCTACCATAATGGAAGCTGCAGAAGAGTTTTCATCAGCAGATCCTCCTTCCACTTGCTGCTGCCTTCAGGGAAGGAGGTACAATTTATTTATTTTGTTTTAAATTGGTTTCTGGATCAAGATTTTTCTGGGTTTTGCAAAAATGCTAGTGTTTGTGCTGGTATTTCAAAGAGCAGCTTACTCAGGTGGTTTGGAGGCTTTTTAAAATAATGATGGAGGAGAAGAAGAAATGCTGAATGAAAAATACAGGCTCCATTCTGCATCTTCTAAAAAATGTCCCAGCTAAAAGAGGTGATGTAGAAAGCAGCAGTTCTCAGCACAAAGAGAGGCTTTGAAGTGTGAGGAAATGAGTTAAACAAAATGACAACTAAAATCCCCTGCTCCTGAGGGTGGCAGGAGAAGCCCGAGAGGAAAAGTGTGAGCCCTACGTGCAAAAAACTACGAGTCAGCATGTGCCTGGGTGGGCAAGAAGGCCAGTGACACCTGGCTTGTACCATC